AGGATATTAATTCAATAGAGCTCGCTAACGGCGCCGAATACCCGACGCCGAATACCCCGCTGACGGTGAGATCCCGAAAAAAACACCTTTAACAACAATTTTGACCAGTCAACCACCACTATTCATCATCCCCTTTCTCTAAAAAATACATTTTCGATCTAGGGCCTGAGAGATCTTGGATTTGGGGGCAATTTCAAGGCATTTAGACACTGGATTTGATCATCTCTTGGTAAGAGCTTCACTCCAACCTAAACTAAAAATATTTGATTTTCACCATGAATTTCTTCCACATTGAGAAGATCCAAAAAATTTGAGAATGTGAAGAAAATATTGGGAAGAAATTCATAGAATTTAGTTTTGAACTCTTAGAATCACTCTTGGAAGCCATTATTTGTATATTTGAAGTGTAATTTGAAAATTTTTATAATTTTGATTAAATTAAAATGGCTCCATGACAAAAGAGGCGACTTGAGTTTGATGAGTCTCGCTTCGTCAATGTGAAGGCTCAATCGAGGTTTACTTCAGTATTTGAAGGAAAGAAATGTATACAAGATCATGTTTTTGAGAGTCCGGAAGGAGAAATTAAACAAATTATTACCGCACGAAGGTGGGAAAACTTCTGTTACACCACCAATAAGGTTGTTGCTAATATTGTAAAAGAATTTTATGCCAACGTGTTCTATTCTGAGGATGGAATTATTCAAGTGCGGGGATTTTCTGTTGACTTTAGTGCCGCACGCATTAACTTCTTTTACGAAGTCCCAGACTCTTATAGCTGTCATTATGAAACCTTCAGTAATGAAACCTTCAGTACACATTATGAAACCTTCAGTACAATGGAGGGCCCACTGAATAAAGTTATTAACTTTCTCACTGACGGGAAAGGGACATGGAAGATAAAACAACGAGAACTGGTAAATTTTTTTGCTTCTAAGTTGAATGCCACATCTAAAGCGTGACACTATTTTATTTCCTCTACGCTGTTACCGACCTATCACCATAGTGAGATAACAAGAGATAGGGCTATTTTGAATTTCTGTATTTAGAATAATAGAAATATAAATGTGGGGAGAATCATTAGTAAGAATAAATTGACCATGGCAAGGAGTGAATCAAGTGGAGGTCTGGGACATCCTGGACTTATTTTTACACTTTGCCAACTGTCTAGAGTGGATGCTGGAGATAATGAGGAATGGGTTTACCCTATGAAACCCATTAGTAAAGCTAACTTGAAGACATATATATCACATGAAAAATGGAGAACTGGGAGTAGAAGTCAAGAACCTTTTACTAGTGGAGATATCCTCTCTACTAGTTATGACCTTCCACCTTCTAGTTCCCCTACCCTGACTGATATAATGAATGAGTTGATCTTGCAGCGAAAGAGTATAGAGTTAATAAATGAAAGGATTGGAGGTTTAGAACATAGTAGAAAGAACATAGACATGATTATGATAGTGAGTACCTTCAGAGGCATTCAAATTTTGAGATAGCTTACTACGAAGCTCAGGCCCGTCACTAGAGAGGTGAACCTAATGTTACTTTTCTTTACTTTTCCTGAATACCCCCGATATACTCAGTATCAGTCCAATCCACCTGCTGACCAATGAGACGAAGATATAATTTGGGATTTTCATATTTGATAGCAATTGATGTACTTTTATTTTTATAATTTTTGTGATAGAAATAGATGTTTGTGTGTCTGTACTTTTATTTTTATTGTTATGTTGCAATTGGATAATTTTTAATTATTGTTACAATTGTCTGGTATGGTAGTTGAAATTTGTTAAATTGTAGTGTGATGTGATTTTTATTTTGCATTCCAATTGTAATTTTTTAGTTTAGTATTGTAGATGTGTTAGTGAAATCTTGTGTTTGTATAATGTTTAGTTTTATACTTATTTCAAAATTTCATTACCTAGCAAATTCTCTAATGATTTATATGTATAGAGAGCTCTAATGTTATAGACCAGGTGAAGTAGAAATTTTGAGAAGGACTGAAAAAATTTGCAGAATGATGAAAATGCCTAAAATACTGAGGTATGATTTATATTTCCACCTGTATCATTTCATATTGAAAAATTTAAATTTGGGGGAGGGAAGAAAAAGATTAACTATTAGATGTTCTCAATTTAAATATTTTCAAAAA